TAAGAACAATATTAGATATCTATAATAAATCAAGTGAATAACTTAATATGAAGAAAGAATTTTGATTAAGATTAAAAAAAAATTTAACTGAATTAAAACAAAAAGTCTAAGATATTAGAAGAATATAATTAAGAAATTTTTTTAATTTCAATTAAATTTATTTCTTTAGATTGAGTTAATTACTCGATTTAATTGTATATATCTATTATTGTTCTCCAATATGTGACAAAGATATCCACTAATTATTTTTAATTTACTATTTTTTTTAATTTTTAAATTTTAAGACTAAATTGTTATATTTTTAATTTCTAATAACTAAATTTATAAATATTTTATTTTCACTTTAAGATGCAGTTAACAATTCTTCTATTGGTCTAATGGTTAAAATTTTCAAACTTGTAAAGTTATGGGTTAAAAACTTTATATTATATGATGAGGGATTAAAATTTTTAAATTTATTAAGGTGAGGAGTTAAAAGTATATTTTAGCCAAAAATGATAAGAGTTTATATAAAGAACTCATAAAGATAACAAAGAGAATTGAAGAATATATCGGTAGGCATTCTTGCTTCTTATTGTTAAAAAAAAAAAAAATTCTTTTTGTTGGGTTACGTGATGTAGCTCATTATATGTCATTTAATTTGATTTTTTATGTGAGTTCCACAAAAGAAAAAGATCAAAGAGTTTTAGATGAATAAGGGAAGAGAAAGAGTGAAGAAGAGGAAAAGTTGAGAGAAAGTGAGATTGGTAAGAGGTTAGAGTTTGAATATTTTAGTTATTTTTATTTTTAAAATTAAAAAAATTAAAAAATAAAAATTAATTTTTAAGTAATTTTATAAAAAAAAATTAGATCATTTCAAGTGATTTAACCTACCCGTACTCAACTCATTTGAATTTAAATAATTTTAATTTAAGTCATTTCAAAATTTAAATTAACATATAAGATTTATCATCCGACTTACAAAGAATGAAATAGGTCAAATTTTCAAATTACAATCAATTTTAGCAAGTGTACATTCTTTGGTTGATGCTGACGGTGCCGTAGCAAAGTTACCAAGTGTCATTTCAAATTTTGGCAAGTGACTTGACTTATCCGTTATTCAACCTATTTAAATTTAAATAATTTTAATTTTTTTTTTTTAAACAAGTTTTACCAGGGGTTAGGTCGAACCAGCCCGAGGAGAGGGGAAGTGCACCATAAGTAGCTGTTGCCACTTAAGCCAAAGGGCTCGGTGCAGATAATTTTAATTTGAACCATTTCAAATTTTAAATTAACATATAAAATTCACCACCCGCCTACGAAGAATAGATTAGGTCAAATTTTCATATTTCAATCAATTTTAGCAAGTGTACATTCTTTGGTTGACGCTGACGGTGCCATGGCAAAGTTGCCAAATGCCAATGCCCTACTGCCACATGGGGGATGATTATGACCGATAATAAAATATTATAGGCACATAAATTTTATAATATAATTAACTTCAAAAATATTAATTTTATATAATTTAATTATAAAATAATTAATAATT